TTGTCTAAATCCTGAGTTTAGGGCGCGCTCCAACGATGGAACCCCGATTTTGATTTAATCCCGAACCCAGCCTCCCAATTTACAAGTTAACACCGGTTGGTGTTGAGGTTAGGCCCCCCAGGCGGTGCAGGTGAAAATTGGCAGATGGCTGCGTTCGAAGTGAGTCACTCGATGAATTGTACTATTGGGTACACCTCGACACCTCAATTGCTACAAGAACAGGCACCATGTTTTGCATTTGCAAAGCATACATTGGTTCCTATTGAATATGCGCCCGTATTTCCGACTACATTGTCGCATCTTGACGATGATGGAAAGGAAACGGACATTGTGGTCCGTGACGGTCGCATTGTCCGTCAAACTGAAGAATCTCGCCCATTGCGAGGCAATTCGATTACAACGGTGATTGTTCCGGCCGGCAGCATTGTCCGCCTCGAGCAGTGATTGCTCCTTGGACATTGTCACATGGTTGACTGCATTTTGAATGGATTGGTACCACCATTGGCGGAGTAACTGTCAGGTGGATTTAAGTCCACATTTTCTGCAAAAGACATTGGGCGACCGCTGCACTGACATTACACGTACCGAAGCATTTCGCGGGATGATGGTGTGATTGTACAGCTACGTGTGACTCCGATTGATGCACATTGTGCAGAACAAATTTCTTTTAAGCATTGAGCTGCATTGCATTGTGATTGTGTGTGCAAGTGACTTTCAGCAATTGTTTTGAGTGGTCGATTTCTGTATTCGCTTAGATCGATATTGTTTGCGAGATGATATTACTTTCACTGCTATTGTGACCATTGCCTAAAGAGCATTGGCCAAGGAACTGTGTTAGAGAAATTGTCTCTATCATGGACGTTGCTGAACCACTGTGGCATATTGACCGCATTGCACATTCGGTTCAAGGCTCAAGTGCTTAGAAATAATTCCCGACCGAGTGATTGCATTCGGAAACTGATTGCATCTCTGCTTGAGCATTTGCTTGGTGGTGCATATTGTGCATTCCACAGGAGCTTGGAAGTGACCATTGAATTTTTCATTCGCCGAACTATGATGGAGCATGCCCCGGGCATGTGTGCCCTTAGATGCCATTGCGGCAATTTTGATTCCCAGTCACGAATGCAACGCTTTGTCTTTGGGACCTAGCCCAGCCAAGAGTCTAGGTTAGTAAGCGTGCTGTACTACTCATTTCTCCTGACATCAACGGTCACAATTGATATCCGTCTGTGGTGTTTCCTGCACCTACAGAGTGTAGAATGTTGCACGTAGTTGTCATATGTTTTCATGGTGTTTCAAGTTCCAATGCAATGACCACAAATTCCGGTGGCAGGGTGGTCTCATGCAAGCTGCGATGTCCGAGCTGTGGGAGCTCTGCGGTCTAGTGAAGCGGGGCTTCGGTTGATGGTCAAACGGTGAAAAGGTTTCGTGCATAGCCTCGAGAACGAGGTTTAACCAGACAATGCACACGATCATGTTGAATCCTGTTGTGATGCTTTCGTACAACAACGAGCATGCTCCAGACTTGGCTGTTTCCAAAGCTTAGATGCGGGTCGGACTTTCAAGCTTTTCGAATGAATCCATACCTCAGCCCCTAGATGGCGCAACAAGACCTGAATCGAGCCCATGAAGTTGTTGCAGCTGCAGTTGATGTGGCAATGTGGGCTCAGACCATGAGGGTGGTCCGACAGACCACACAGAAAGACAGCGCACGCGTTTGCCATCCAAAACCCTACACGAGACACATCGGGCTCATGAAGATGTCTTGCATGTTGCCATGACGTGGGGGTGCTCGCTGCAATGACTTTTGCTTGGTGCACCTATATTGACTTATGCTGGCTCCAACTTCTCCTCATGCCGAGCTGCAGGACTTGACAGGGCCCATAAGAGTCGAGTTTAGCACCAGTCTTAAGTAAATTCACGGCTCAAGATAGACAAAATTTCGTATCAGGTTTTCGAAAGTTCTTGATCCGCAGCAAAAGCATTGCAATGCGAATGCAGGCTGTGATTTAGCTTTGTGTGTGTGTATATTGATTTGCACAAAGCTTGTGTGGCACAATATCGGCAATAGCAGACAGCAGGGCAAGTCTTGCAATGTTGCAGGAGGACGTGGAGCCAGAGCTGTTGAGGGGCGTCCCGCTTCAGGCGAACCGCGGGATTTACATCACTGAAGCGAGTCGCATTGATGCCCAAAGTTCAACTCCACTGGGCGAGTAAGAGTAAGAAGCATGTAGGAGCTGAACTGCCGCTAACAGCCGAAGTTGGCTGTAGAGGTAGCATTGGCTGGCTGGGCACGGCACTGGGCGTCTGCAAGCAGTGGCCGCTTCGGATCGGAGGCGATTCATTGCCATACTTAGGGTTACTGGTTGTGACAGTCACAGCATGTGTATACAGTCTTGTCGTGGTTGCTAGTGTTTCTAGCGCCGGGTGTATGAGTCAGTACTGGCAAGACTTCACCTCTCACTCACAGACAAGCTCCACAGTGCTGCTCGGGAGGATTTCTGTTATTCGGAGCTGCTGACCAATTCTCCCGGCCAGCCAGTCCGACGGAATCGAATTATGACTGAAAGTGAAATCACCGGTCCCCTTGATCTGAGCTGCAATCCTGGGCTGATTGCGATGTGAGAGCGAGCCCACAATACATCCGGTGTGCTGACGGACCATACCTAGCAGACCACACCGTGTAGTCGTCAGAAACTATAAGTTCCGTGGAAGCCCCTCAAAGTTTGCAGTGTCTGGTTGTTGCAACTCTAAAAGAGCAACTGCAGGCTATTTGCTATCAGCTGAGTGTTCCGTGCGAGAGTTTCGGTGACCCAGATGCAAAGACTTGACGCTTTCTTGTTTTGCAAATCGTAGTCAGAGGCTGCTCCTCTACCCAAAGACCCCAGACTCCTGGAGATCAGCTTCTGAGCTCAGGCTACTTCCTCAGTCATGACTGGGAGACCTCTCGCTTTCAGAAGCTTTTATGTTTGCTCCCGGGATGGCACTGGTCAAGGGATTCTGGCAAAGCCATGTTAGAGCATGGCATAGCTTCTTTTGTCAGAAGTCAGAATTTGATATGAAGGTCAGCCCAAGTGCTGATCCCCAACCAATCCCTCCCGGCAAGGAAGAATCATCTGGGCCTCGGATGGCTTTGGTTTTTGGCCCGCCAAGTTGATCCGTGATTTGTACCGGTTGCATGGGGTAGATATGCGTCTTCGCAATGCATGGCATCCCCATCCCATTCCATCCCATGACGGGGCTCGGCCCGGGGTTGGGGCCCGGGGCGGGGGCCAAGGCTGATTGTCTTCAACTCCCGCGCTGCACTGATGGCCTCCTTCACGACGAGTGCCTGTGTCGGCCTGCTGGAGGTGGGTGTGCGATCCCCGGTTCCATTCAGGCTTGTAGAGCGTGCTGGTCCGGGTCCGTTCGCTTACTTAGAATCATGCCTCGCCGATTGTGTAATTTAGGAGAGCCATGTGATGACGTAAAATTTCTGTTGCGATGGCGACTTCTTTTCAGCCTGACAGCACCAGCACACAGAGATCTTGCGTATGAATGTATAGCGGTACTTCTTTCATGCCTTGGCCCCTGCACTGCTTCCTGTCGTGTATCCCGGCCCCCATTCGAGGTACGGGCATTTCAGTTCACTAGACTGTTGCCTGCCGGTTCACCAGTGCAGGTCTTGATCGGTCTCCCCATGAACCTTTGGACTCCCGGCCTGGGCGTCCTGGCTTTGCCTGAGAAAGTCAAGGATTTTCACCACCCGGGGCAACTGGGGTCGGTTAGCGCCTCGAGGGCCTCGAGCTGCGTTCACACACGTTCTTGTCCGCGTCTGAGGTTTCGCGGCCTACTTCCTGGTTCTCGGTTTCTGGCAGCGCCTTCGGAAGGCTCCAGCCCTGGGGGCCCGAAGGGTGGCGTGGAACCTCATGGCCGGAGGTCTTCCGCGAGGCGCAGATTGTCTTCCTGGACAAACTCTGCATTGCGCAGCATGACGCGGTCAAGAAGGAGCAGGGAAGCCGTTCACTGAGATGGGAAGATTAAGTAGACTGTGTGCTAGAAAAGGCAAGCCACCACAAGAAGCCGAAGCCACACTGCGGCAATGACACAATCAGCAGCGGTTTTTTCGCACCCTGGGATGCATGCAGATCATTTGGATTCAACATGCTACAGCACTTCAGCGATGCCCCAGATCACCTTGACCAGCCGGACCTGCCGTCTGCTGCCCGTGCTGTTGAAGGAGAAAGGTATTCTCGGATTGGCAGGGTTTCTGCATCGCTCGGACAGGCTGCTCGTGCCATGCTTGCAAAAGAGACGACTCCTTCCCTGGAATCACTTGCCTAGGCTTGTTATTCTCCTTTGAGCGCGTGTAGCTTGCTTCGTGCGTTCATTTCTTCCAGAAGAAAAGGCATGCGAGCCATCCTGACAAATAATTTGCCTGATGTCCATGATGCCACGACCAGTAATTGCCAGTAATTCACCCATAAGGGTAAACTGCAATCACTTGCATCTAAGCAGCTCAGGTGCTTTGGTCACCGAGATACTTTACCAGACCCTGTGCCAGCATTGACTTACATTGGTTCCGCCTAGTCCCATCACGGATTCTTCAGACTGGGCTACTTTTCCCAGTGGCTGTGAGCTCGTAGCCGGGGCTTGGTCATTTTTACAGCCTCGAGGACTTTGGTGCGCCTACGAGATTGCGACTTTCATGAAGGACTTCTGAAGCCGAAAGACTTGCACGGAAGAAGCTCACTGACTTCAAGCTTTGAGTCCTTTGAGGTGTGGGCACAGGGGGCATGTAAGCCTCCGGTTAGTTTGTCGTTGGCTCGTCAATAGTTCGTCAAGGTCTGAAGCATCGCGACGCAGGATCACAAACGGGCAAAGTCCATTCTCGTTATGCCGGCAGCTTGGCTTGCAGCTCGTTTGTGATAGCGTGGTGCTTCAGTGTGCCGAAACTACTCGCACTGCGAATCCTGCCCTAACTTTTCCAGTGGATCCCAGAAAAATGGATTGACACGATGGCGCATCAAACAGTCCTAGCTTGCTGAGACGGCTTTCCCTTCGCAAACATGGTGATGACGGGAAGGTAGACTGAGATAGTCTTCAGCTTGGAGCTCCTGCTTTACGGCAAAGGTGAAGACTGCCAGCCTCTTCTTCCTTTATTCGGCAAGCTGGCATCTGCTGACTTACTGTGCCTCAGCGAGAAAGAGAGAGCCGGCATCCAAACATTTTCATATTTCTCCCGCAAAGAACTCAATGCACTTTTGCATCTGAGTTACGTTTAAGATAATGCTTGAAATGCTTCTGAATCTGAAAGTACCTACAAACTCATGTCTCTAAACATTGGGGGAATTCAGGCCGGGCCTCGTATCACTGTTGTGCTGTTGGTATCGTTCATTCTCCTGAGCATCCATGCGAGTTACTACTTCTCGACTATCAGTGCCTCTTGGACTACTATGCTGTTATTGCTACAAAGATATCACCATCATCATCATCATCATCAGTCATCAGAGTCTCGGCCCGAATCTCGATTAAATGCTGTGACAGCTCTTACTAGGGGCCGGATCATGCGAGGACTCCACTCCTCGCGATCGCGACCTCGAGGAGCAGTCGGACCCAGTGGTGTCCACATGCGATTCTCCTCCCATCGAGGATGCTACTCCAAGAGCTGTGCTGGTTTTACCGCAAAGAGGCTATCTGCTATCTGCGAAGCCGCCTCTGACCGAAGCCGCATTTCTGCGATTCCAAGGCAACAGCAGCACAACATGGATGCGAGGAGAATCCTACACCTCAGCCTCGACGAGCTCGATCCCGTCGCAGCCGGGAACCTGGAGCATGACTACCAGTACCTTTACAAGCGCTTAACCAGGCCCATACCGCGCAATGATCGAGACTGGATCCGAAGGACAGTCAGGAAGGCAAACCGCGTCGGCACGCCGCCAGATGCTGCAGGCCTTCTTCCTGATGCTATCCAACAAGATGGCGGACGCAAGCGCCCCGAAAGGCAAGCATTTCGCGAGGCTGGCAACCGACCTTGCGCTGCCAGTCCTGTACCAACCAACCATTCAGGCGTTGTGGCCCCAACTGTCCACAGTCGATAGAGGAAAGCTCCAGCGCTGGTACTTCCACTTCGATTTCCAGCACAGGGTCAACTCCGGGCTTCAGGCAATTCTACCACAACTGGCATGCGAGGCAGAGACAATGCCAGACATCACGGCCGTTCGCAGCAAACAGAGGCAAGGCTTGGAGCCCTCCAGTTCCTCTGTGCCAGTCTGAACCATCCAGTGCGTCAGGACTCCACAGGCCCTAAGAGATGGAAGCGATGGCGGTTTCGTACATGCTCCTCACAGAAAGAAGTAACATCGGACAGCTCGACGAAGACCAGATCAGCGCAGACGAGAGCCACTTCGTTTCTTTCTGAGCTTCCCTGAATGGTTGAATTTAGCTAGACATGCACAGTTTCTAGGTCGTGGCATTCATGCAGCCCGAAGCAACAGCAGCGAGCCCAAATCGAAGGGCTACCCCGGTTCCGGGGGGCATGGCCACACAAGGCAACAGCAGGACTACGCAAACGGCCCATGCAGAGGTGAGGGTTGGAGGATCTCATTGGTCGACGTCCTCCTGAAACTTGTCATAAGTCACCCACTGCACAACAAAGTGCCAAGTTTTTCGACCATGGTCAACATTATGGCCGTTCCCAAGGAACAGCTCCCGGACCTTGTCACCCCTTTTTACCGATAGCATCAGGTACACCCAGAGTACTTCGCCTACTTCAACTAATCGCCCTAGTACACCACTGCAATGCTGCGTTTGCAAGCTTAATGTCACCAAGCCAAGGCCCGAATCAGCCCTGGCAACAGCCCTCGCATTCTGAACGGTCATCCCGCATCGTCAAAGGCTCTTTCCAGCGAGCTCATAGACGTCTGCAGCAGAATGGGCTATGCATGGTATCGCGGTAGACTGCTTCAAGCAACCCAGGCTCGGGCATCGACCCATCGCACAGTGGCCCCTAGACCCCGGAGAGATCAGGGCCCCATCAGAGCCCCTAGCCCAACCTTCATCAAGGATCGGGACCGTCAACAGGAGATACAGATTGTTACGTGGAATTGTGGAGGTCTACACTCAGAAGTCCTCCTGTGGCAGGACCCCATAGCTCGGACCGGACCGTGTTGCAAAAGACGCACTGGACCGCTGCCAGTGAGTTTCACAAGTCATGCGCATGCATATCCATCAGCAACGGCACAGCCTATGCCAACTCCCTAATCCTCTCAGTCGCCTGGCAACAGTTCACAGGCCAGACTACGAATTGCGCCGCCGTCGCCACTGCTGTGTGCTGCACTTCAAAAGGTTCTCACAGGCTCGGTTGGCTTAGGCTGCACCCGTTGGGGTATACCGGAATGGGCTCAGTACCATAGTAACTGGAATTCGGACAAGCTCCAGCGGAGTTCCTGCAAAGTCTTCGTGACGGCCTTAATGATCCTGCACTCACGGGAAAATGGAAGTCACAAAAAGCCACTCCCCTGGATCTTCCTGGGTGAGGGATCTTTGATGCCCCTGCCGGTCACGTCTGCCTTCAGCACAGCAAGGGGTGCGCAAATCACACTGCAACAGCTCATCCAGCGTTGGACCAAACAGAAAATCCTGCCCCAGGTGACAGCGCAAGCGGCTCTGAACGCTCCCCCACTCGTAGTTTTGCAAGTGCCGCTCTTCTCGGATGACCGCAGGAAGATCACGGGCACCATTACCCCACCCATCCGCGGTCATTACAGAGCGGCCTTCGTGCGCAACGGTTGCATCACGCATGCCAGCGATGACCATGGGCATGCTTTTCCCTTAATGTTGTCAGAACGATGCCAGGTGCTGTCGAACTCATACTAATTTCTTTTACATTGATTGGATGCTTGATCCAATCACGCGGTCTTGTCGTGATGATTATCTACTGTTACACAGATTAGCCTGTTCTTCATTTGTCAATCATGCTGATAACATGCCTGCGCTGAAAGGCCTTTCGAGACGGGAGGCCAGACAGCTTTAGGGTTCAGGGAGCAAAGGGGCGGTTTCCCAGAGACGCCGGTGCTGCATGCACTGCCCAAACGGACGCATCGCAAACCTCTCTTTTGCAGGGAGAGAGAGATCATCTTCATCATCAACCTCATCTCTTCTTCTTCATCATCTCCGCCCTCATCCATCATCAGCATCATCAGCGCTCCTTTTGCCGATTGTCAACAGTTGCCGGACTGGAAGCAGCCATTCTTCTTGTAAGAGCCCAGGCATGTCATCTCGACGATGCCCCTTCACGTTAACATCCTACCTCCTACACCCGACATCCTAAGGCTACTACATCGTTGATGATGCGGCTGACGGCCGCTCCATTCTGCAGCAGACCATACTCGTCGGGCCTGTGTCTCTTGGAAAGCAGGCTATGATATCGTGTGCATATAGAAGAATTGAGACACAAACAAAAATTGCGACCCAATGTTGTACTTTATTCTTGAAGTGTATATGCTTTGGGGCTTGAGCTCGAAGGTTGAGCCTTTCAACACCATGCCGAACGACCGAGAAGGGTGTGTACTCGCACATTGCGTGACATTCGTCTGGCTGTATGTTGTGATAGTTGTGTTTTGCGGGGGGATCACATGCCATGTCCCCGAATCGTGAAGCTCCCCTGACTGTGCCTAGAGTTTTGTCTGACGTCCCTGTCCCCGCATTCCCTGATAGTGCCTACAAGTTTATCTGAGGTCCCTGTCCCCGAATTCCCCTGATTGTGCCTACCGGCTTATCTAACGTCCCACGCCTGCCATGTACTTATTGCTGGAGGTCAGTCAGCCCAGTCTGACAACATGTGCACAACACTCTGAACTCATCCGAGGTTCATAGCAATCTGCGCAGTGGTGATGCCGTCAGTTTATGCGCTGGGAATTGGGATGATGAAGGACCTCCGGAAATTAGAAGCTGCCATGCCATTCCACTTCTGTTCGCGGGAGTCCCGGACAACTCCTGGAAGGGCACAACTATGAAGGCTTAGAAGGCCAGCTGGCGGTGTGGGGGGGGGCTAATCCTGTTAGGAGCTTGGTACAAGGCAGAAACAAGCCAAATTGGAAGACCTGTGTGGCACCCTCTCATAGCAGAGCCAGCCATGGGCAATGCTTTGCAGGTCTTATCTCCATTTTGCACGCGACACCACATTGTTTATCTCAGTGAGTCGGGGAGTGCGCTGTGTATTGCCTCTATCCGAGAGCTTTCTGTACAGGCACTGCGCACCCTGAACCCTGTTGCTCATTTATTCCTTATAGCTGGACCTTGGGCGGTGTGGCGAGGATGTCGAGGAGTTGCCGGCTCAGCTGCGCAGCTTTGACGTGCGGAAGGTCGCCTGCTCCTGCTGCCTGAGCTGAAGCGCATTCTGTTGTGCCTCCAGCACGGTGTAGATCTTTTTTGGCATGTTTGGTGAGTTCCGAGCAGTGTAGTCTAGTTTTGTAAGGGTCCGTGTGAGGCTCGAGGGTGAGATAGTTCCCAGCCCGCTGATGCGTGAGCACCAAAGCATAATCTTCGCATCTCACGGCATTCGTGATACGCGTCACGTCCGAGGGCTAGCTTCACTCTCGTCGCGGCTCGTCGAGTTCGTACAGGTAGTTTTCATTGCAAGCAGGAGCATTTTCGTGTCGAGGTTGTGCCTTCCAAGACCACCTTCATCCTGAGACGGGTCGAAGGGTTCCATGTGATCGAAAGCTGGCGCCTTGGTGGCCCTTCGGGCATGATCGTTTGTAGCTGCCGTCTATTGTTTTGAGTGGTTCTGTCGGCTTGCAGGCAGGAGCAGGAGTGGAAGATGCAGTGATGATGCGGAGAATGTAGATTCTCAATGCTAACATGGTGGCAATTTCGGGCTGGATCGGTTTGCTCTGACCGCAAGAGTGAAGCAGGGCTGTCTTCGTCGACAGTTCTGTTGGCAACAGATGTTTTCGGTAGGCCTTTGCAGCTGCCATCCCCTTGAAGTCAAGCAACCCCCGAAGCCGAGATCGGAGCTTGTGTTGCAGGTGCTCCGCATGCTGCAGAAGTGGTACAGTTGCTCCACCGAGGACGAGGGCTATCTTGAGTAGCTTGCTCGGCATAGGTCCTGGAGTGCCCAATTGCCCAATGTTAGGTCTTCCCACTTTTAATACCAGTGACGTTTTTTTTTTCTCAATTACTCCTCCCTGCACGCTCTCCAGACCAAGGCAGTTCAATTGCTTGGTTCGCACGGAGCTTGCGCCCTGGATTCTACGTCATGTTGGCAGCGACACGGTGCCTTTCAGTGCCTTGAATTCAAAAACGGTGTTATCGCCTAGTACGACTACGGTACTGTGATGACGTGTTGTGTTGTGCCGTGTTGTGGTGTGTTGTGTTGTTAGTTTGCCAGCACTGCATAGTTTCTTTTTTTTTTCACGGTTGAGTGCTTTGCTCTTCCTCATCTTTGCGTATGCAAAAACACAGGACAGAAAACCCCCCGGACCCTGCACATGTTCAGCACAGTGTTATTCTAAACTCGCTGATTTGTCATGCTTATCTTTAACCTATCTGTTTGCTTATGTTTGCTGTTAGTGCTTTTTTGTTTTTCTTTCTTCTGTGTCAGTCTGTTTTTGTGTCGTTTGGTGGTTATGGTCTCCCACATCAACCCTCTTTCCCACGAAGCGAAAGCTCCGTACGTCCCCCGGATATGTGAAACCGGGCTCGGTATACTCAAGTTTCGGTAGAGTTCGTTCGTTACAACCCAGAAGCTGTAGACAGTGCAGCTGTTTGCCTGTCCATTTTGTTGGTAAAGGGCTCAATCTACCTTGGTTTGCTTTGGTGATAGAGGTGTGAGACTTTAAAGCCCCAGACAGCAGGCCCCAACACCAGCTACGTATCCCGAGCCTCATCGAAAACATGTGAAGATTTGGCGACATTATTGGGAGCACAAGATCAGCGCGATCAGAAACGATTTGTGTTTCGCGAAGTTTTGTTACGGCTCACATACTTTGTAGGTCATGCTGGCGCAAAGGTCTCGGGGTTGGTCTCAGATGCCCGTGCAAACGATGTCGCAACAGTGTGCAAGAGTCGTTAATGCCTTTGAGTAGTCTGCAGCGTAAGCATCTTCATAAGTTTGAGGCTGTTGAAAACCTGAGAGCCTGCAACGCATAGTTTTGTTTGATTTGTTTGGTTGTTGTTTATATTCTTGTTTTCATTGTGTTGTCGTGATGTTCCACATGAAGTCTGGGGCTTGAAGGATGGTGTTTCTAGGGCAGATTCCACGGTGCTGCAACTGCACGCCGAGCTTTAAACTTGAAGCATCTATGTTGTACATTGGCTTGTGCGTGTCAACAGACCTTCTGTGCGTGCACGCTTGCCAGGCTACTCTTTCTACATGGTTGCAGCTCCAAATGTGCCGTTTCTTGCTTATTACATCCCAAGGCGGTAAGGGCGCAACAGTTGGTCCGTTGGTTTTGCTTGGGAGATTATTTTTTTAGTCCACCTGCATGAAGGGACACGGTTTTCCCACTCAGTGAGGCTGTTGTTCCAACGGGAGGTGTATCTGCATTGCATATGGGCCACGGAGACATGTTTCTTCGGAAGATGGCAACACATTCAGTGCTGCTGAGATACAAGCAACGTATTTCGGTCCCCCTGCTTTGCGCTGCTGCTAGTGGAGAACAAAGAGCCGCCAAGTCATCGTGCCCAATTTGAAGGGTGATCAGGAGGGGTTCATGTTGTGCACAAGGTGTGTGCACAAGCATCATGGCAGGTGGCTTCCTCCTAAAAATGGGTAAAGATCTCCCTCCAAGGAATGCTTTTCCCAGTTTCCAAGCAAGAGGCGTTTTGCTCCCACCCCAACCCTCATTTCCGGCGACGAGTTGTTCTCATCACATAGCTTGATATCAGCCATTGTTCTGCCGCTTCGTGCCCGCAGGTGGTTTGACCAAGCTCCTAGAGGTGTGGGTTTCTGGCGGCTCTTCGTGTGGATTCTTCGCATCTGGGCAAGACGACTTCCAGAGTTTGTTTTGGGTGCAGAACGGGATGGAACCAAGCCCCTGCCAGCGTCTGCCCTGTCAAATGCCATGGATCGTGCTAGTCTGTTGGGCCTCTTGTTATTTTGGTCTGATTGTTGGCTGTGTGACTAGCGATCTCGTTTTGGCGTGGCTGTACATGTCCACAAACAACCGTCAGTCGTCTAGGTAGATACATCGAAAATCGATTGGTATTGGCCGCAAGATCAAACCAAAGAAACACTTGTCTTTCTTAGATAGATGACCGGGATGTATTTGTGGACTGCCTGCTCGCATGGTCGCTGCAGCCGAAGCCGAACTATTTTCTGAGTTTGCTTTTTCCATATACCATGAGGTCATGTTATGGGATGGATGATCCTTTGCTTGGTCGCGCTCTTCTCTGCCCCTGGTCAGAACAACGTCTATATAAGGCTTGTAAGTCAAGCTTGTTCCCAAGTGACATGTGAGCCTGAAGGAAGCTGACAAATTGGCTCCTCTTTAGTCCTGTTGCACGGACATGAGGGATAGTGCTGCTAATCCTTCTGCTTTAAGATCAATCTTGTCAGCTGCTCTTGCATGGGACATCTCGCCTCGCATGGCGTGCCCTTCGACAGGGCAGAGCCCGCTTTTTTGGAGCGTCACAGGTGCTGCACATGGCGCTGAAGAACATTTCGTTGATCACTCGTCAGCTCACATGCGCTCCCTTGTCAGTGACCCATCCGAGGTGCGTGTGTCCATGTACCTCTGGAAGGCCAGCACGCTAGGGTTTACTAGGTGAAGATCAGGTGTGGAATGCCAATGCTTCCCATGGGGGCGGTGTGTAGCTTTGCGCTTGCAGGTGGGCTACCACCTCTCAAAGAAGAAGTGTAGGCTCCTGGTGTCTGTGGCCCTGGTGCCTGTCACGCGGTCCAAAGGGTCTTGACATTTAGTAGATGATGGTTAGCTTCAAAGTCAAGCAGTTTTGCCGACAGAATCTAATTGAGATTTACCCGGGAGCTGCGTCCTTGGCGCACCCAGACTCCTCCTCTCTTGACTAAGGTGATGTTGATTCTGGGCACTTGCGCCTGGCTGCCTTTCCAGCTGGCCTATGCGACGACAGAGGAGTCACAGGGTCAGCAGTGCAAGGAAACTTGGGCCTCCATCATTAAGGGCTTCCTAGCACAGTGCGATCATTTTGAGTCGCCAGAATCCTTTCCATCCGACCCACCTCCGCTCCGAGCCTCTTCTGTCAAGGACGCCCTTGGTAGCAAGGACTCCCACGCTCCGGTGCCTTGCTGCGCCGTCTTGAAAGGAGTTTAAGTTGCCATTAGATGAGCTGAAGCAGGCAAAGCCGGACCGAACGCCAGTGCAGGTCGTATTTGTTTGCAAGATGTAGCTAGCTTACACCTCGTGACCGTCATTTGGCTCAAGCAAGAATGTGCGTCTTGCGTTCCGGCTGTCTTGCTTATAAGCATAGGTTATCAACAAGGTGGAAAAAGTTCGCAATGGAGCCAGCTCCCGTAAGCCCTGCAGGCATACCTATACCTCACTCGCAACCGAGGAGGCGCCGCATTTCCTGCTATGTCCGTTCAGCAAGATAGCACGGATCAGTTGGCCCAAAATCCCCGAGAGGGTGAAGCTACTATACCATTGACTGAAAGGTCGCTGACATTGCTGGGAATGGACGACCCAAGAAGACGAATGGTAGGTGCGATTTCAGAAGGGATTACGTTACTACACCATCCCTGCATTCGCACCTCCAGCGGGGCCGCCAGCAGCTGCAACTTCGTTACTCACCCAATGAGATGTGACAGGTGTCGAACTTCTACCACAACCAGGTCCTTGCACCGACCCTCAACCAACAGGTCCTCTTTCAGAATGATACAGGACCAGCTGTTGCCGCAGAAGCCGAAGCTTTGCATTCGGCAATCATGAATGAAAGAGGATGAACACTTTAGGGAGTCAGGCTTCAGCATGAGGCAATTTCAGGTGCATCAAGACGTAGACTCGAGTGTCTTCAGGCCGAGAAGCGTTTGAAGTTTCTCAGATGCGCAGAGAAGCCATGGATGTGAAGATCAAGCTTTACCAAGCCGAAACAACTGTCAATGAGGTTGTGCATCATGCTGAAAGAGCGGCTGCTGCTAAGGCACAAGCTCAGATTGCTGCCGATTCCATGTCAGGTCAACTCAATCATCTAATGTCTGAGATGACAGAGTTTCTGAAGACTCATCAAACTCAAAGTAGCAATATGTCACGACTGGAGTGCGACAACGCCGAGCTGAGAAATCGCCTGGCGGAAGCTACGGCAACAGCAAAAATTTCCTCTGTGCCTCCCAATGCCTCACAACACACGGGGCATGTGACTCCAGCGTTTCATGGAATTGCTACGCCCCCAGGAATGGGTGGCATCAATGACTGTGGTCCACCGGATGCTGATGATCCGGACGATGATGCCCAGTGGCGGTGATCACAAGAAGAAGAAGAAGAAAAAGAAAGATAAGAAGAAGAAGAAGAAGCCCGATTCGTCGAGGCTTCCTGAGACCCGGTCCGGGTCCTTGGAAACACCCCGACTGGGTGTCTAATCGGTACTTCGTGTACGCCTACCACCGCGGTTCGTCCGAGCCCATGTGGGTGAACCCTGCTTATCCGTCTCAGAATCGACAAAGCCCTGGACCAATGAGATAGGCAGACCGTTCGGGAGTATACCGTTGACCCGATCGAGAGCCTCTACAATCAGTACAATTGTTTCTTGGATCTGATTGATGAATCCCTGAACGACCAAATTGGAGAAACCCAATGCCATCGGCAGCAAAGTCAATTCCTGACGGAAGTTACGTAATGGAATTGCATTGAGAGGTCGGGACGCTAGGGACACTCCTGCGATGGAAAGTTTGGGCTGTGCCTTACCGTTTGGCCTTCAAAGCTAATGCAATCACCCGTATTTCGATGGGAGGATTGAATGCCATTGCTGTGCGAGGCGCCTTGCGGAAATCACCGATCTCTCCGTGATCGCTGAACCAGATCTCGTGAGAAGACTCGCCACACGAAAGGGCAGGCTCAGCCGGGCTCACGCGCCAACTTGTTCGACACACAGGGCAAGACGATGAGCAGTTGGAGAGGGCCCAGAGCACCGCTTAAGCAGGCCGAGAACAAGTTTAGCGCCGCACCGCAGGATCGCATGAGCATTGATCCCATGCAAGCCCACAATTTTGCAAAGGCTGGTTGAGCTTCTACACCATCGAGGCTCTCCAGCGCATCGCTAACGTGAGGCTGCCCAATCCCACGGGCAAAGCAAGGGATCTTCATCGTATTATGATGCCACCGGCAAGCTTGCGTTCCTATGGGTGCCTGGTCAGGCGGAAATCGACCTTATTACGGAGAATGATCGCTTCTACACGATCGATGAGATCGCAGTCATCATCAAGGCAGTGAAGTCGAACCAGTACGAGTTCTCGCTGCTTCAGTACGATGGGGACAAGTACTTCGTGATGCAGTCAAAAGTGCTAGCCATCATGGGCGAGTTGGCCGCTTTGTTTGAGACGGAGTTCCCAAAGAGTCGCAATGCGAACGAGCGGGGGTATCCGAAACTGACCTTTAGTTTCGACTGGCCGTGCCGTCTCGGGTTGGGAGCTTATCGAGCTCCTTGCGGCGCCAGGCGCCGTGAATACTTCTATGGACAAGCGGATTGGGATGAACACCACGGCCAGAGAGAGATTCACCACATCTGCGCCTGCGCAAGATCGCCGTCCACCGGCTACACCGAGTGCTCTGCCAACAAGGCGTGGCCGCAACTCTGATGAGCGTGCACATGTTTCCTCTGCTACCGACCGAAATAGGACATGCTCCCCCATCGCAAGGAACAGGTCCATCGAAACCAACATGAGGACGAATGGAGCCGCCTTCCTAGCGGATAGGCCAAGTGAGTCAGGAACCGGATCCTCAAGCGACGTGCGTCCTCCGGCTAACCCGTCAAGCTATATCAGTGATGCTGACTGGTCGGCTAGCGGGATGACACGGAGAGCATCGCTTCTGGCAGCACCCCCCCCACCCGCTTTGCTTGACCACTCGCCTGGCGAGAGCATGGGCCGAATCTCACAGGAGACGCCCAGCTGACCCAGTTACCTTTCGGCCCTTTTTTCACGTTACAGGGTGTCCCAGATCCTGAGGCCAGAGCGGTGGACATTTTTCGAGCAGCTTCAAACTGCTGATTTGCAGGTGGGCGAGACGTTATTGACCCGGCCGTGGCACGTCGTGCCGAGTGGAGCAGAGTCAATGCATTTTTTTTGCAGCTGTTTTCGCTGCATGCACCGAATCGATCATTCAGCCTGAGCACGTGATCATCATGGCAATCTTCACAGCATCACGAACTTTGGCACGTCACACGTGCGATGGTACCTGGCGGGTTGGGAGCACGAGATGTACAACCACAGGGCGCAGAGATCGCCAATATTGATGGCACTTTTCTTGTCGTGGTCATCATGCCTGGATTTGATTCACCTCCCTAACAGGACGGTTTCCTGAGCAAAGCTAAGATACGCGATTCATTTGCAGGGAAGTGAACTTTTAATAATCGTCGTTGGCGCCACCCTAACAGGTCGGCCGCAGTCCCGACTGAACATAGAAAAGGGTGAAGGTGACTTGCTCATTTCTTTTGCGAGTTGCTGGCGTCACAAAGTGATGTCATTACGACGGCCCAGCAGCTAGTCTCCTTGCACTTGTGCCGTCGCCTCATCTGTTGCACTCAGATGCGCGGGGCTTCTTTTGTGCAAGATGTAGCTAGCTTACACCTCGTGACCGTCATTTTGCTCATTTAAAAATGTGCACATTGCATTCACGTACAGGTAGGCCCTTCCAACGCAGTGTTTGATAACCTTGCGCATTGGGAGCCCCAGTAGCTAAGCGAGCACACTGATCAAATGTTGCTGAGCCCGATCATGCAAGCGCAGGAATATGATATCCTACCTGTGATCCCGTTCGGATTGCTTGTCCTTGCCGTGCCCTGGCCCGAAATCCCAAAGGCATCTGGACTTGAGACCTTACAGCTTGTGACTTTTTTGGTGGTTATGGTTGCGTGAGCGCAGTGCCCCGCAACCGCGCCTAACTACCTCCACTTGAGAGAGCCGCTGCGATGTCTGGACCATGTCTTTTTACCAGGAGAGTCACGATGTTCATGATGAGGAAGAGAAGTGAGGCTGGGATTGTTTTCATGTTCCTTCTCTGGAAACAGCTTAGGTTCGGTATCTGTATCGCCCGGCCAACGCCAGCCTAGCCATGGAGACTCCGGAGGATGCCACCGTGGAGGTCGACGGGAAGACGACGTTGCGAAGACACAGACTCGAGCCCGAAAGTGGGTCCCCAAACTCGTAGGAGGACTGGCTGGCCGTTTGTGTTGTCCTATTCCCTTCCATGTGTCTGGTGGTGGAATTTCCTTGGGAAGTGGCTTCAAGCTCGAAGCTCTTAAGCCGACCCGACCTCCAGTTCCTCATTCGTAGGAACTCCTATGCATACGGGAGGCCAGGCGACGGTAGTCAGTTGGGCTTGGGCTCATCTTCTGTGCCGCCACGCCAGGCGACGGATGCCGAGTCTCAGAGCTCAGCCAGCCAAAGTTCCATTTTCAGCATCTGAAGTGCCCTGAAGAAGAAGGGTCTTGTAGTCTTGCGCGTGGATGTGTCGGGGAGCTTCAGGATGAGTGAAACTGAGAGGTTTCATGACAGCTGCCCGCCGTCTTACGATGTTTTCACATACTCCAGTAGAGATTCCTGGCCCAAAGCTGGCCAAAGGGGAAGTTGAATCTCGAAGCAAAGAAGACAGGATTGCAGACAGAAGGCTGCACCATGCCATGTTCAGCATGAGGAATAGGCACCTGTGTAGTTGCAACCGTGAATGGTAAGAATCCCAGTTTCCGTCATTCTCGCCGGCATGCTCCTGATGATAGAAGGCTGTGCAAATGTCGCAAGTCTCGAGTGGCTCAGCAGCGGAGTTTCCTTGTCTTGCAGGATCGTTTGCCGGAGGCAGAGCAGGTGCTGTGAAGTTTAACCCGGGTGAGGCAGGCGTCAGGTTTCAACTTCCAAGCTCACCGCGAGCATGTCTGTCGCGATCTTGGCCTTGTCCTCTGCGGTTTGGCTTGGAAGCACGGCTTGAGCCGAGTGGCCCAGGCCCGGGACCCAGACTGGTCAACGCCAACTTTTTCGCTTCTGTGGTGCGATGCAGTCATGTAGGCAATGTAGGCATCGGCCTTCGCAGGCCCTTTACCCCGCAGACGTTTGCAGACCGGTTGCAGTTGCCCCCCTTTGTGTTGCCTTGGAACAAGATCATGTCGGCATCGATCCTCGCAGAGCAGGAGGACCATCTTCTCATCGCCATCGCCCTTGTCGCAGCTCCGGCCCTCTCGATGAGCATCGGCTCGGTCTGTGTTCGTTTCGGCATCCCCTCCGATTTGGTCCAAGCGCGGTTTCAGAACCTATCAGCGGGGCTCCTGCTCGGGGCTTTGCTTGCAGAGATCTACCCAATGCTTCACCAGCGACTCTTCGTCGCGGGGGTGGATCGAACAAAAGTGGAGATCTGGAACTGCACCTCGGCCTTCTTGGGCTTCTTCTTGGCCCTAGGTGTGATGTATGGCCTCCGTGCTCTCGAGCAGTTTCACAGCCCAAACGAGGAGGTGTTGAAGGAGGCAGCAAAGAAGGAAATCGATTTGGAGGGTGTAAGGTCTCCGGCTTCTGCTTCCTCGCCCCGGCACGTGGTACTGGCCACGGCACAGCTCGGCAAATTGAGCACCGGAAGTTCCACTCTAGATGTTGCAATGAACGCGCTCAGCAAGATTCAGAAGGGTGGCGATGACATCAACGTGGAGCAGCTGGACGAGCAGCTGCACTTCATCGACTTTGCACTGGACTCCATGCACAGAGCCTGCCATGGTGTTGAGATTCTCACCGGTGTGGCTACGAAGGATGCTCGGGCAAGGCTTTCCGAGCTTTTGCAGGATGTCGAGGCATTGCAATCCATCAGCCCGCAGAAGGTCAGCGCACTGGATCTGCAGATTCAGCGAACAAGCGCCAGCCTGAAGCGGTTGCATGCGCAAACCCACCCGGGTGCATTCCGCCGATGGGGCCCTCGTCGCATGACAAGCAGCTCAAACCAGACGCTGGCACTGGATCTCCCGGATCAGACGGGTCGGTGCAGCAGTCTCCCTTGGGGCCTCATCTTTGCCGTCGCCATCGATGCCACGGTAGATGGCATGTTGATTGGCCTTTCGACTTCAAGCTCTGTCGGAGCTGGGATGCTGATGGCCATCGCGACGGTCATTGAGATGGGCTTTTTGGGCTATAGCTTCGGTTGCACTCTCGTTAGCCAAGCGCAGGAAGCGAAGCTCTGCAGAAGCGCTCTGGTGGCCTTATTGGCTTTGCCTCCTCTTTGCTTGGCGAGCTTTGGTGCGCTTGCCTACGTGATCGGAGAGGCCTTGGAGAGCTGCTGCGTTTTCACCGGCCTCGTGAGCTTCTCTCTGGTCGCGGTGCTCTTCCTGGTGATCCAGGAGCTCCTCCTGGAGGCCGCGGAGAAGGACGAGGATCACAACTGGAATGTGAGCATCTTCATCTATTTCGGGCTCTTCATCAGCTTCGCATCGGAGGTTGTGCTTTGATGCCTAGCAGCTTAGCCCCGAAGTGGGCAGCTGCGTGTAATCCTGTAGAGTCTGCACCTTCCGACGTCGCTGAATAGAAGACAGCTTTCCGTTTCCAGTTGGCTCTAGGGGGTCACATGTAATGTGCTCGCAGACAGCTTGCCCTGAAAAGAGGAAGGGTGCTGGACCGAGTTCTTCTCCAGCCTGCAATCGCATGCAATCGCTTTATGAGCGTGCCGGCTTCTCTAAATGGCACCGGCTTGCACAGATTGCCGGAGATCTGGTGGTTTCCTGCCTGGCATTGGTCGCTTGCCCTGCAAGATCCTGCAAGGCTGTTCGTTCTGCAGTCTCATGCTCACGGCAGCATGTGACATCTGCAAAAGAAGCTAACAAATCCCACAAGACGCCTGCGTAAGAGTTTGAAATTCAGCCATGGCAGAGACGTCTCCGAGCCATTTTTCGACAGCAGCCAGACAGACTTGCTCATGGGTGCAGGCCGGTTATGGGTTCTCTTTTCGGCTTAACTTCATGCATAGGAGGCTTTGTGAGAAAAAGTCTTGTGTAGGAGCTCCGCTTCAGCGAGCTGTCCTTTCCGATGTACACCGCTCCTCGGATTGCATGAGTCTTCCGAGCTTCGCTGCATCACTCCGGTAACTGTCATGCCGACTCTCCTGGCAGGTATCTGCGAAAATTCTTCTAGAGATGAGAGAAGTTCGAGCTCATGAGCAGTTGAAACTCGACGGGGTGCTGACCGAATACGAACAGAGTCTGGGCAGAGCGATGTTCGTGTCGCACCAGTGGCTTTCGGATCACCATCCGGACCCTTGCGCAGAGCAATTCAAGGTGCTGCAAGACGCGTTGACAAATATGCTCTCCGGGAGAAGTGAAGTTCAAGTCCCACCTGTCATGGAGATCCAGTATGGCCGCATGAAAACTCCTACATCAGCCGGCATGACTTCGAAACCTTTGTTTGTTTGGTACGATTATTTTTCGTGTCCACAGGGCAGTGACTTCGCATCTGCACACTCTCGGCAATGTGCGATCGACACAATTGTATCTTATGTGGCACGATGCGAGTACTTCGTGATACTTTGCCCTGCAGTGACCCATGCAGACCAAACCGTGCTGGGGGAGGATGTCTGGGCGACCAGGCAGTGCTCCAAATTGCAGCAGAGGGATTTTGCCGCTTGGGGGCTTCTTCAGCGTCTTAACATAAAGCGCCAGTAGCTGTGGCCCTGGCGGTTGAAGCCTAAGAGCACAAGGTTTGCACCTGATTGTCAGACCTTTGGACCGCTTGAACCCTGTGGCCAGGGGCTGGTGCAGGCTCGAGCGGCTCGCAAGAGAACTTGCAGAACGCGACGATGGCTTCGTGATTGTGGTGCACAGTGCGTTTCACCAAAGCCTAATCTTCAATACAAGCCGGCACCTAGATGCTCCTGGTGCGGGACATTTCACTTGGGAAACCGACCGGTGTCGGATTGTGGGCGTCATTGTGCAGATGATTTGGAAGAAGTTGCACTATTTCCTAGAGCAGGGTGACTTCCACAACTATCGGTTTTTGCTGAACACGCAAAGTCCTTGTTGCCTCAGGGACCTAGATGCACTCCCTGTTGAAGGCCTGGTGCCGGGTTTTGTGCCACGAAGTGACCCCTTCAAGGACGAAGAGACTTTTGTGGTGGAGTGGTTCCTGCACGAGAACGGTTTCCAGTCAGTTCAGGAGCGGGACTCTGCAGGCTGGACCCCCATCTGTTACGCTGTCATGGCCGGTAATCCAGGCCTGGTGCAGGCCTTGCTAAAGCAGAGAGCCGACTGTAACGACCGGATCTTGCGCCACAAGCCCGACATCGGCTTTTGCAAGAACACGCCTGTTTTGGCCTTGGCTGCCCACTTCGGAAACAACGAGACTCTCCGAGTGCTCCTGAGATCCCGGGCCGACGTGCATGCCCGTGCTAGCCACAGAGGCATCGCCTTGCACTCGGCCTCTTTCGCAGATAACGTCGAAGGTGTGAGACTCCTCTGTAGTGCAAAATCCGACCCCGGGAAGAGGGTGTTGCCTGGTTTGGATGCCTTTGAGCTGGCCTGCTCTGCAGGATCCTGGAGAGTTATAGGCGACCTTCAACCCGAAAGAAGCATCCCGAAGCACTCCCTACACTTTGCCTTGATGATCAGTGGGGGTTCAGCGGCCTGCATATCCATTTTGATCCAAGCAAGAGCAGACGTTAATGAGCAGCTCCGACTTGAGCAGCCTATGTGGCGGATCGTGTTTACGGCTCTGAGCATCCGGCATCGGCTCAGTCCCTCTGCTTTGACGACTCTGGCCTATCAACACCTTGGAGCGACTCCCCTCATGTTCAGTGTCCTGACCGGCAACTTCAAGGCCACCGCCCAACTCCTCGAGGCAAGCTGCCCTTCACCTACGCTTTCAAGGGAACTTGCTGCGCCCGCCCTGTGGAGGCCCAAGCTGATGTGGAGATGCGGAATGCGCGGGGAAAGACTGCCGTCCACTTCGCTCGACAGGTCGGATTTGGGGGGGGCGGGTTCGGGAGCAGTCAAAGCTCGAGGTTTGTCCTAGAATCTTCGTCGCTCGCAAGAGCTGGTTGGCTTTGGACCCCATCTTCGGGTTCCGTCCTCGTCGGTTTACTGTCTGCTTGTGCAACCCAAAGCCGGTCAACCTTCGAAAGCTGCCAAGATGTTCAGTCAGGCGCAGGCCCCAGCATCTCTGATTGATGCCCTAGAGGGCTGGGCGGTGCCGGCAGAGCCTCGCTGTCCTTTGCCTGGAAGGGCATGGCAGAAAGGTCAGGCGGTATCCGACGATCCCTTCATCTCCGTCGCCCTCTGAGGCCTTCGGGGACGGAAGCACCAAAGTTCCCCTCTCTGCCTCAGCAGGGGAGGCCATGGTTTTAAATCCACGCGGAAGCAGTCTCATTTCGTCGGAATGCAGTCGTTTGCTGTAAACTTTCAAGTCGGTGGACGACTGTCTTCAGACGACCCTAACTTTTAGAGCGTAGTCGTGATGGGCATCCCAGACGAGGGGCGACGAGTGGACTGAGTAGACGTGCCCTTAAGAAGATGCCTTGTCACTATCTGAAGCAGGAGGTGCAAACACGCGATGTGTAGAGTGGCAGCGTGCGGCCCGACGGGTGGAACCTGCTTCGGAGCCAGCCGGAAGTGCTCCTGGAATGTGCGCACTCAGAGAAAGAACTGGTGTTTGAGCCATGTGGGTGCTTGCAGGATTGTGGTGAGGATTGTCAGGATAGCACAGTGACGAGCAGGTCTGGGATTCAAAGTGGGCCGTTGCAAGTGGGGTCGTTCCTTCTTCGGTAGTGTGGAGTATCTCTAAAGCTAGCAGACGTGATAGTGTCATGGAGGCCTGAATGAAGCGAGAAGACCGCTGTTGTGGAATCATGAACAAGAAGAAGCTCGCTTGCCACCACAGAGAGCGCCCAACAAGAACTGGAAAGCAGTCACATCGACTGCAGGAGTAAGATGATACATCGGACACCTCGCATCCAGGTCCGGGGGCGAGGATCATCCATAGCGACTATGTGTCGGCGTTGGTCTCAGCAGAAACTGTGAATGCATATCGGAGCTTCATTTGAACATATGAGCCATGCTTGATCCCTCTTGTCCTTACTGCCTGTGTTCATATCAGCAGTTCTGATGGCAGAACGGTGGATTATTTTGAACTTTGGCACGCTGTTTTTTTTTTTTTTCCCGCTGTGGTGCGGAAATGAAAAGGTCTTGAGGGTGTCAGGGTCAGTGCATGGCCGTGGGGTTGTCAAGATCAGCGTTTGGACATGTCCGGTCTTGTGACGGCAGAACCCGGCAACCATGCTTGTGCGCTTTGTTTGCTTCTCATGAAGCATGTCAGGGTCAAGGCATCTGAGTGATCATGGTTCAGACGTATTCGCTGCTAACGGGGGTCGGGGCCCTCCCTATGTACAGCCCTGACTTTTGCATGTAGCATCGACTGTCGCTTCGAACAAGATGCCGGTGGCATCGTGCACTCGCTTGGCCCCTGACATACTATCTTAGTCTGACAAGTGCTTGCAGGATGATGGTCGGTCCAGACTGGCCAGGGAAAGCACCGATCCTCATGGATGAGTAGCTCCCTTGGCCAGAACTTTGACCGAAGCTACATTGTGAGTTCTGGATCCCAGAAGTGCTCAGGGCTTGAAGCTTACAGGTCGCGACAGCTCCCCGAAGAGCATGGACTGTTTAAGTATAGGTAAGCAACTGACCAATGTGCCTCGCGCGAGACATCCTTGAAGTTGCAAGACCGTGTCTGACATGAGGCATGATTCGATGGGAGTGCTGAGCGTCTTGCTGCCGCGACAGCAGTTTGCCGTGCAAACAAGTGATGTGCGGTGAGTCGTCATTCAAGATGCCTGATGTGCTGGGATTTATCTGCCCTTTGTCCATGGTGTTGTGCTTTCGCCTTTGGAGGCCAGGTGCTCCAGCAGTTTAGAAACCGAACAGGGACTGGCACGTTGAATTCGATCTAAGAATCTAAGACCTCTTACGCTCGCTTTTCAGTTGTCACTGCCGATTAGCGGATTAGCGATTCTGGCGGTACTCGGCGCGGTTTGAAGTTGCATGTTGTGTGCTGTGTGAGGAGACATTGCCCGTGATGCTCGAGTGCTAGGGGTTTCTTAGAGCATGATTCATGACGAGTTGCAGTCAAGCATATCAGTTGTCGGCAGAGGCATCTTTTGACAAGAGCATCCTAACAAGCCGTAAAGCCACGAGTTTCCACTCGAATGCTACGTGAATCGTGTCAGTCAAATGTCAAAAGGCTTCTGCAGAGTTTGCTACACTTGAGAGAGTAGGGAGGACCACTATTTGTTTTGGTGGGGTCTGGTGGAGGGCATCATCTCCAGCGGCAGCGCGCAGCGGAGGGCTTTTCGGGCTCTAGCCCGAGACGAGAAACTAAACACGTGGGAGCTTCGTAACGATTCCAGATCTGCCTATGGTGCCGTGATCGCGAGCCGTGGCTGCGAAGGTGTGCGCCGTAGCATTGTTCACTCTGTCTCAGCATGTTCGGTGTCGGGCCACCCGACGAGGCTCGGTGATGACGATGGACCTTTCATCGCCTCAGCCTTCAGTGAATTGTGGAGACCATGCGTTTGCTCTCCAAGACCTGAGCGATCAGAGTGATGATCAACGGGGTCCAAGGCAGTTTCCGGTAAACCTCACAGAGTTCTATGCGATCGAGGCCCTCGTCGTCTGGCACCTACGTTCACAGAGCCTTCTGAGATTCTGGCATTTCTTTGCAGTCCTCGACACTTCTTCCAAGGGACAAGGTGCCTTCAGCACCGTCTGGAGGGCTCGTCATCGGACCTCCGGCCAGGCCAGGCAATCCTGAGCCATCCTGCACCCTGAACCCCCATTCCTTACAACCGCTGAACCCCGAACCTCCATGTCTAAACCCGCCCAGAGCAAAAAGAGCCAAAGCCCCACGCGCACGGCAGAGTAGACGTGCTTTTGTCGGTGAGCGTGTGCGTGCCTGAGCTCCGTGCGGTGAAGAAGATCGATGCCTCGCTGCTTTCCCCCAGGGAGATCGCGAACGAGGCTTCGCCCATTTTCCAGTAAGCTTCGACCACCGCTGCTCTGATGTAGGGTTGAGCCAACCTGTCACTGCAAGAGCCCTTTGGCTCAAGTCAGTTGTGTGTGAAATCCCCATGCGGTGCTGATGATCCTTCGGGAGAAGTCTAGGCCTGAGTCCTGGCAGTCGTAGCAGACTGTCAATTAAATTGCAAAGTATTTGCTTTTCACAATGACCGAGGTCGACGTGGTAGGCATGCGGTTGCCGCTACACCTGGCATGGTTTATCATCTGCGGAGCCTCGACTGACGTTGATTAGCACAGTGACCGTCCATTGTCTCCTTTTCCGGGCCTGGGCCAGTATGAGTCTGAGGTGTTCGTGGGGAGCGCCCAGCTGCTGCCCGCTCCGCTCTGCAACCTGTGTCTTCCGTCACGAAATTATACGCCTGCTGCATGTTCGACATCTTTGCCATTTTTCCGTCGTCGTCTCTGAGCCTTGCATGAGGCGTCTCCATGAACCCCCAGGCGGGAACGAGACGGAACTGTCTCAAAGAAGCGCAGGGAGTCTCATCCCTGGAAGGCGAGGCGAGGCCCGCAGCTCGCCCGGGGCCCGCCGCCGTGGTCCGGGCCGAGCCCATCCTGGGCCGCGCCCCTACAACTCGGAGCCACAACTCGAACGGACTGAGAGCTTCGCTGAGTCTGCTGGGAGGCTCCCAGACTTGGCCTCTGGTCAGCGGAGACAGGTGCGGCCCAAGGAGCTTCCGCAGCGTTCAGGAGACAACGCGACCATGCGCGACCCGCTCGCAGGAACGCGTACGCATGCGGCGCAGGCCGATGTTGCTGCAGGCCTACTGTCAGGGGCTTCAATCTGGTTGCTCTGGGTTACGTGCACGTCGGCACAGGTTCGGCTGCAGTTATGATGTCGAGAAGGACAGCTGCACGGCCTGTCACGATGACGATCCTGATGCACCCGGGATCGACATATGTAGTTCAGACTCAGTTCAGACTACATCATGTGCACCAGACCTGCTCTGCTCATGAGCTTATGCATGGGCCAACTCGTTTAGTTGAAGGTCGCTACCTTTCACATCCAATCTTCTCATCTCTGGAAAGGGAGAGCCCAGGGGACACCTGGCATGACGTTGGTCACGAAGCTATTCCCTGTTCGGGGGTGCTGCTAGCAACCCCGCTGAGGAATTGCACGAAAGACCACAGATCCGGCCTCGGCTGTGTTTCTGCGACAAGCTAAGAGGCATTGTAAGCGGTGAGGTCATGTTTGTAGACGTTCCTGCTGCTGCAATGCGGAGTATCTCTGGAGCTTGGAGAAGCGAGAGTGTCCCTCGGGCATGAGAAGTGCCAGATGCTGTGATGCAGAGAGCCAGTCAAGAGCCTGAGATCGAGGCCAGCACGTCACTGTCGTCCAGGAGCAGCAAGAAGAAGCGCCCCAGATTCCCGTGCCTCCGAGCATTGCTATCCAGTGAAGCCCCCCAACGAAAACAGACATGTTGCTCTGAGGTTCCTCGAGAAGATCCCATTCCAGGAAGGGGCCAGACATGAACACGCCAGACGAAGCATCAGAAATCGAGATCAGCCTTGGAATCCTTGGAAGCCCTGATGAGGATCCCAGACTTGGGGCACAAGCGACACTTGCGAAAGCAGGACAGGTGCAGCTAACGTCAGCACATTTCCGCCAGCCTCCGCCGGCCTGCCTTCGTTCCTGGCGAGGAATGCATACCTCTGCAATGACGGACGACACTGCTGTTGCCGGATGGGCTGCACCTACGATGTCGAGTACGACGAATGCCGCGGCTGCAGTGCTCCAGACGCACTCTCCATCCAGAGTCCTGCAACAGAACATGCAAAGACTGTAAATCTATCTTGAGTTGATGTCGTACTGGGGTGCATCTCAAAGAAGCACCTTCTTGAGGGCGTCATAAGGTGATAGCAACCCTGACGTGGCCAACTTTCACATCCCGGCATCCCATCTGTGGCAGTCCCGCATGGAGGCGTGATGACAGGGTACAGAGCAGTGTCACTTGCGGGAGGTAGCACCCATCTGTGAAGGAGAACATGTGCACAGCGTCGCACAGCCATCTGTGTGGTAAGTCTTGCTGCGCGGCCCTCAGTGCTACGTTTTGTACTGCGGATCCGCCGTGTCCTTTTTGAGCTCAGGCTGCAATGCCGAGTGGCGGTGGGATCTGGACAAGAGGCCTCCAAGCAGAGATCGAGAGCTTTTCTTAGCTCGTTCTGACTCCGCCATCTTGAGTACTGGACTGCAGGGAATGTGTGAAAGCCACAGCCTTGCAGACTCTGCTGCTTGGCCTTAGAGGGTGGAAGTGTTTCTCCCAGGCCGGAGCTTCTACGAGCAATAAGTTGAAGAATCTCTTTCGCACCCTTTCGAAAATGGCTCAGTACTCCGTTGATAGCCTGCCTTACATACATTCGAGAAGCTGTACCATAGTCCTCGTTCTGTGCCTCATCCAATCCTCCTCCTCATCATCATCGTCATCGTCATCGTCATCGTCATCATCATCATCATCATCATCACCATCATCATCATCATCATCACCATCATCATCATGAGCATCATCAGCATCATCAGCATCATCAGCATCATCAGCACCACCACCACCACCACCGCCACCACCACCACCACCACCACCACCATTGTGATCATTATCATCGTACTTAGCAGAGCAGTCGTCTGTACAACTTTCCGCCGCCTATGACTCTATGACCACAACGGCAATCACCACAACTACCTCCTATTGCTGCTACTACTACTACGACGACGACGACGACGACGGCGACTGCCACCGCGACGACAAACGACAACCATCGCCAGAACCAAGCAAGACGACGACGACGACGACGGCAGGTACTGCTGTACCTGAGTAGTACTCGTACCAACGCTCCATCTAGCAATAGTGGGAGCGGTAGTCATGGTGGCAGTTTGTGGTAGCGGGTCGCCATCATGGGCGACAACGACAGCGATGGGCACTTGCCAGTAGGAGGGGTGACGTGAAAGTCTCTGTGAAATTTATGCTCGTTTTTTCCTTCATCCCAGGAGGACTGCGCGGGCGTTGAGACAGAAGCCCCCCGAGCCGGCACCGACGCTGGCAAAGAACTTCAGGAGGATAGAGCTCGTTTGTCTCGTTGTGTGATTCCATCTGTCTGTCTATTGGATCTATTTATCTATTCATCTGTCTATCTATCTACCTACCTACCTACCTACCTACCTACCCACCTGTCTATCTGTCTCTCTACCTACCTACCTATCTATCTATTTCTCTATCTGTCTATCTATCTAACCTTTCTAATCTGTCTAACCTATCTAATCTGTCTAAGCTATCTTTTTATCTAATCTATCTGATCTGTCTAATCTATCTATCTAGCCATCTACCTAACTATCTATCTATCTATCTATCTAATCCATCTTTCCACGGATGCATCTGTCCATAAGTCCATCTATCCATCTATCCATCTATCCATCTATCCATCTATCCATCTATCCATCTATCTATCTATTCATCTATCTATCCATCTATCCATCTATCCATCCATCTACCTATCTACCTATTTACCTATCTACCTGTCTACCTATCTATCTCTTTATCTATTCATCTATCTATCCATCTATCCATCTATCCATCCTTCTACCTATCTACCTATCTACCTGTCTACCTATCCACCTGTCTACCTATCTACCTGTCTACCCATCTATCTATCTATTCATCTATCTACCTACTCATCTACCTATCTATCTACCTACCTATCTATCTATTTCTCTATCTATCTATTTGTCGAATCTACCTATCTATCTATCTGGCTAGCTAGCTAGCAGCTAGCTATCTATCTAATCTATCTCACCCATCTTTCCATCTATCCATCTGTCCATCTATCCATCTATCCATCTAGCTATCTATTCATCTCTCTATCCATCTATCCATCTATCTACCTATCTACCTATCTGTCTGTCTATCTATCTATTCATCTATCTATCTATTTATCTATCTATCTATCTATCTATCTATCTATCTATCCTCCTACAACACTCAAAACGTGGGCAAATGAGGTAGGGTAGCATAGTTATATGCGTACATACATACATACATACATACATACAGACATACATCGGCGAAGCTCTTTCGAAACAGAGGCTTGAATCGGAAAGGTGCTGCCGCGCTAGACAAACACATGCAAAACGCACGCAAGCAAGCCGGTAAAGGCCCCAGAAGGAGCGAGGAGCCCTGTTCCTCTTGTGCCCCTGCCGCCTGCGCACTGCAAGCCGAGGATCCCTGGCTCTCAGATTTGGGAATCCTGCCAGGCCCCGGCCTGGGAATCCAACACAGCGGGTGCACGGAAGACATAGAGATAGAGGGATACAGAGGGACCGAGGCGAGGTTGTCCAGAGAGCCTCACAGCTTGCTTCAGCGAGGATCGGCATGCTTACTCCTGCGGCAAAAACCACTGCTGCTGCATGTTTGGGTGCGCTTACGACGTGGAAGAAGATGCCTGCACCGGTTGCAGCTCGTCCGACAACCTGTGAAGTCTGCATCCCGCTTGTTTCGGCAAGCGCCGTGCATGCTTTAGTGCTACGCTTGGGGCGCGAGGCAAAGCCAACGACCCTCTGGTGGAAGTCTTCCACATCCCGGCATCTCATCGCTGGCCGGAGAGGAAGCAGGAGGAATCTGAGAGCGGGGGTCAGTGGGTTTCGAGGTTTTCACTTCATGTCTCCCTCTCTATTTCAGCACGAGGAAGCTAACTGTGCTGATCCCTTCTCATGCGGCCGCTGCGATGCCAAGCTAAGCCATCCCTGTGGATGGTCGTGTTGTGCGGAGCTGAGAGGATCGGACCCAGTGGTACCACCTCACAGGGCTTGAGGTGCGGTCGGCCTCAGGTTGCGATGCTGGCCACGTTTGGGACCTGGAACAGCGAAGGCTCCCTGGCTCTCTTTGCCGCTGTGCGCCATCGTGGAGTTTTCATCATGAACTGCCGAATTGCTGCAGGTGTGTCACCTACCATCAAACGGAATCTTGGCACCTCAGTCTTGGAGTGTTGACCAGTTTGTGGTCCACGATCTCCGTTTTGGATTGACGTACGCTAGACCCACCTCGCGTCTCTCTGCCAAGGAGACCCCGAGCAAGCCCTAGCAGCCAGGACCTAGACGAAGCCAAAAAGGGAGGGCAACTTCGCTTGGACAAGTTGCATGGTTTTTGCTGCGAAGTACGCATGCGGATGAATGCGGCATCTGAGCATTTTGGCTCAACGAAGGCTTGAACAAACAGCGCCAGGGCTTTCAGGTTTCGGCTTGCAACCATGTTCCGTGCCTTGGCCTGGACTCTTCTTCTTCCTGCGGCGGTGGCTGCTCTCTCTGACCCGGACTGGGAGGCCTTCAAGCACAAGTACAGGAAGACGCTTGGCTTCTGTTCCCTGAGCCCTTGCTTCGCTTGCGGGAATTGCAGATGCGGTAAGGAGCTATTCCAGCAAGGGCGAGGAAGCGGCCCGCTACCAGCTGTCCCTTTCTTGGCCTCGAAGGTGTCGATGAAGTGTCTGTGAATCGAACATGTGTAAGGTTCAAGGCCACGCAGCAACGAGTCGATCACCTGAACAAGCTCAACGGTGAGCCCGCCTTTGGCATCACCTGGATGGCCGACCGTCATGAGGAGGAGAAGTACAAGAGGCCTCGGGCCCTAGACATGCCTGAAAATTCGATAGGACCTCCCTAGCTTCCCTCGCCAGGGGGCACCGCAAGCCCAAGGGCTTCGTGCCCGTTGCACCGGTGCAGAACTTCTCCGATGCCACGGCCACGGCCGTTGACTGGCGCCTCACAGAGGCGGTGACGCCCATCAAGAATCAAGGCGCCTCCATAGGGGTTCAACCCGAGTTCCGCAGGAGTTCAGGGAACATGATCTCCAGAGTGACAGCTGCGTGGGCTCAGATAGAGAGATGAAGTCCGAAGTTGCCAGGTCACTGTGGATATGCAATCCGGAGTTTGTTCTGTTGCGGTGTTCTTGTTGATGATGGACCATCGAACCGTGCGACCTTCTCAGGGTCGCGGGCATTAGCGCTTAGGTATTGTGTTTTCAGGACGGCGACAACACCGACGGCGACGACGACGACGACGACCGCGACCGACGACGACGACCGACGACGACTCGACTACGACTACCACGACTGGGACTATCTCTGTGACTATGCTGCGACGATGACCACTGCCACTAACCCCATATTTCTCTGCCCGAAACGCTCCATGTGTCTTCCTTTCAGCCTATGCTGGGGACTGGACGCGCGAGCGCGATGCAGAGTCAATTGAGGTTCCAGACCACTTCTGTTTGGCCTACTGTTCTCGGCGATGCATCGCAATGCGGTTTTTGAGTCGGTTCTTTGCAGTAAGCCAGCTTCGCCAGCATGTGCGCAAAGGAATTTCCTCCGGAGTTGCTTCACTTCATGCCATTGGGCGTAATGAGCCCTGGAATCGGTAGAGTCATTAGAGCCCGGGCAGGACAATGCGGCTCCTGTGCGTTGGCTGCACTTGGCCAGCCGATGCATCTTTGCTTTCCACCCCGGCCCAATCCCACAGGCTGGGCCTTCAGTGCAACTGAAGCCATCGAGTCCCAGCTGATCCTCGCCTCTGGCGGCAGGTCTCGCCGCCGTGCGGATTTGCAGTCCCTGCATCAATGTTGCGACAATGCGGTAGCTGCCATTCCGAATCACAAAAGCAACTCTCAGGTGGGCAGTTGCCAGGGAAGGATGAGACTATCTCTCAGCTCGATCCATCACACCAACACTCAACCTTCAAGAGCTGCTAGTAGGCCGTCAGAAAGGTAAATCGACCGTTGCTTGTCTGTGTCTTGGCAGGTACGACATGGCACTGTCTCCGCAGCAGATCACCAGCTGCGCGCCCAGCACCGGAACTTATGGTTGCCAAGGCGGGCGGCTGGCAGCGGGTGGACCCGACCCAAAAAAGCTCTCCATGTTCTTCCCAGAACTGAGCCGGTGTGATCTCGGCAGGATGCAACGGGGGCTTCACAGAGGCCGTCCACAGTGTGAGCCGCCGTCCCTCACGTAGTCTCCTTGCAGACGTGGTAGAAAAGTTAGCTGCAATCAGCCAGCCCTGCCCTGGAGGGTGCCTACGAATATCTCAAGACTGTTCCAGGCCTCGCCAACAGCACCTGGGCAGCAGACTCTCTGTCGGTTTCTTGTTTTCGTACGTCTTCAGCAGCCGTTGATGGCCTGATGCCAGGCTTCTACATCCCTTACCAGCAGAGCCTCACAGAGTCCACGGACACAGTCGCCTGCCCCAAGGAGAAGGCCTGCCACGAACACAGTGCACAGTACAATGTAAGACTCGATGTTTTAGCACAAATACAGAAAATATGCCATGTATCGACATGTATATTGCAGATAAACAAGCAAACGCACACACTTTGGCTCGGCCGACAGGACCAAACGACGACAGATTTGCGGCAACCATACAGAATCACGGAAGGTACGGTAGCATCAGAGAGCCGTACCCCCCTGCCGCAAATCTTGCGGTCTCACTCAATGGTCGCCATGTACAGGCGTGCACACATACGTGCCCTGTAGCAGGGTTGCATCGCTGAAGCATGTGTAAGGACACCAAGCACTAATCTGCTTCGAGAAAAGCACATAATCTTACACATTTAAAGTGGCGGTATTTCCTCAAGAACTCAGGTGACGCATATATATATATATATGATATACCAGTACCTCTTATACTCATATTTTTTTTACTATCGATTTGTTGTTGGTTCTGTTAGAGTGCATATGCCAAGCGTATTGGATGATAGTCGGTTGACTGATTGATTGATTGATTGAGTGATTGATTGACGGATTGCTTCTCAGTGTTTTACCTCAGACTTAAATACTGCCCAACGAATACACCAGATAGCATTCATAACCATCCAATGTTCAACCAATACTGGACTAGCTACTCGTTGTGTTGAAGTAATGCAGCCGAGATGGATAGTCTATAAGTTGTCATGACATATAGGTTAAACCTTGTATCCACATCACATGTTTACCGAGCAGACTTTGAAGGCGAATGAAACGCTGTCAGAATGAGACGGAAAAGTCCAAAAACGGAACATCAAGTTAGGTCCATTTGGTAATTGTAATCGTGGAACATAGCCTTATGAAGTCGCCCAAAGTAGATTTTCAGGAAACGACACATTTACCGTCCACTACCAAGCGAGGGATCGTATTTAAAGTGCAGCTATTTTGCTCGAACTATGAATCGTAAACTAATAGAATTAGTAGATTTCCGCTAAATACTGGTTTTACCTCACAGGGTATCAGCTGAACGTGTGTTACATATTTGTTGTTTGAGCATTTACTTGTGTGCAGATATCATCTGAAACATTGTCGTGATCCGACTTTCAGGATGTTGAAAACTTCTGACCAAGCACAGGTTCACTGCTATCGTAATCTTGTTTGGTAGCAGGAAGCGCAATGGATGGGCGTTCAGGGTTGCTCAGCAAAGATGTCCATGAGATTGAGGATGGTGGAAGTGAGCGCATCACCATTGAGCTTGCTGCAGCTAGGAACTAGAAGCGTGCAGTTCCGTGACCCTGCCCGTGGCAGAAAAGAGAGGGAAACGCCGGAGAGGAACTGAGGAAATTGCTGCCAACAAGTAGGCTTCAGGTATGGGACCCAGCCAGGGTCAAAAGGACAAGACAAATATTGGTCCTGTTGGAGGACCCCGTTTCAGGACCACCAATTCCACTACCTACGAAAGCAAGTTTAGGAGTTGCAGAAGTCAAAACATTCGAAAATGAAAATTCTCACAAATTGCGGAAAAGTGTTCGAATTTTGAAACCTCCCAAACTCCAAGGCTTCGTTTCGCAGGTTTGGGGGTTGGATTGCGTGGGATTTTTCAAGCTTCCGTACTCAGAACGTGTTGACATTTTTGGAGTTTCATTTTCGACTTTCGGAATTCCAAAACACCCCATCAGATTATGTAATAAGAGTTCCCTAATCAGAAGCTTAAGATTCCATTTTTGGAAGTTTGAAGCTTGGAAACTCGTTTCTGATTTGTTGAAGAACTCTTTGTTGAGTAGCTATATATGTGTATAGATATATATGTATGTATGTATGTATGTATGTATGTATGTATGTACGTACGTACGTATGTATGTATGTATGTATGTATGTATATATACAAAAAGCGTCGCCCTCAGTATATATATATATAATTACATTATATTCATACTTATATTCATATTTATATTTGTAGTTCTATTTATATTTATATAGATAGATAGATAGATCGATAGATTAGACAGATAGATAGATAGATAGATAGAGAGAGAGAGAGAGAGATATATATATATATACATACACATAGTTGCGGCCCCCCCTCCCATGGTTCAGTTTATATAAAATTATATGGGCATAACGATATATGTTTCCCCCCCTCCTCCCCCGTGGAGCGGGACATCCGTCCTTTTCCTGCCGCCTTTCGTTTCCCCCCTTCCCCTCCCGTGGAACGGGACATCCTTCCTTCCTCCTGCTGCCCTGGTTCAGTTTATATACAATTATATAGGCATAACGATATGTGTTTCCCCCCTCCCGCCCCCCTGTGGAACGCGACATCCTTCCTTCTCCTGCGACCGCCTTTCGTTTCCCCGCTTCCCCCCGTGGAACGGGACATCCTTCCTGCTCCTGCTGCCCTGGTTCAGTTTATATACAATTATATAGGCATAACGATATGTGCTTCCCCCCTCCCGCCCCCCTGTGGAACGCGACATCCTTCCTTCTCCTGCGGCCGCCTTTCGTTTCCCTCTTTCTCCCCCGTGGAACGGGACATCCTTCCTTTTCCTGCGGCCCTGGTTCAGTTGAAATACAATTATATAGGCATAACGATATGTGTTCCCCTCTCCCACCCCCCTGTGGAACGCGACATCCTTC